CACACACACACACACCCATTCAAAATCCTGGCTACGGGCATGGAACTTATGATCATCCAGTGGCACATCTGGACCATGTCATCAAAAGGGCCACCAGAACAGCCATAATTGCGTTAGGACAAAGTGGCGAAGGAATTGAAATCACCACACAGACCGCCCTTTTAATAAACGATCCATATAATCCCACATGATGGGGGATTTGACAAACATTGCAGTCCATCATTGGGTGACAAGCCTTTTAATTTTAGAGCATTAGTTCCACAGGTTGTCTCTGGGTCACGCACAGGGTTTTTGCTTTTCTGTATCGGTATAGCCGGTATAACCGCCCTTCGGCGTAACACACCAGCTTCTGTATCTGTATAGCCGGCATAACCACCCTTCGGCGTAACACACCAGCTTCACAGGCACCGAACGACTTGTTACACTAAATCCTTGCACATTTGATTGCATGAGTTGTTTAAAGCTTTCTAGTGATGATGCCCCAACTGTGCTTGGTGGCAACGGGTTCCAGCCTACGATAGTTCTGGGGAAATACGAGTTTTTGAATACCTCAATTCTTGGTTGATAACTCTGATATTTGAAGGCATGGCTGTTTCTTGTTCTTTTCTTAGCTGGTATCAGATACTTAGTGGTTGGTACGTGATAAGTGATATTGTATTTAAGTTATACTGTACTTTGTATTTATGCATTTATGTGTCAGTGGTAGCCGCTACCAGCCTTGTTGCTGCCTGGTTGCCACTTGTCATGCACTGTTGCATTTAAATAAACAAACAAACAAACAAACCTTTTTATTAGTCATTTTGTACATCATGCACAGTCTGGACATTCTACGTCTGTCTTCCAGCGACCCCCAACTGTAGGTTTCGTTTCATTTCCGTTACACTAGCATCCCTTCGATAGTTGTTCGTGCAGAATCTTGCAGCTTGTTTCTGTACCCTTTCCAGTTTATCTTTGTCTTTCTTTGTATATGGATCCCATACTGTCGCGGCATATTCTAGGTGTGGTCTTACAAGTGACGTGTATGCAAGTGATTTTACCGTTGTTGGACATGACCACAGATTGCGCCTAAGGCTTTTACGGCTTTCTCCGAGAGAACACAGTAAAATATTTAACCTTCAGGATGCTAAGGTAACCGTTTAGCACCTCATCTGTATTGGTTATGACGTTAGGTAGCAGGGAGAACGTTAAGCGCTACTCTCCAAGCAGAGGTTTGGTCTTATTTTGGCGTTTTCTAGCCCAACTTAGGCTGGCACCAAAACAAAGATACCAGCACAAAAGAAAAGCTCCATAAAAAAGCCTAAAAACACGCCAGAATAAGCCAAAGTCCCTACCAAATAAGGTCAATGACCTGAACCAGACGCCTGTCACCATGGTAACTAGTGTTGGGTTACATCATGTTGCAATTTTATAGCAGGAGGGATTTAGACTCCTGTCACCATATATGTGAATGTGTTTGACTTTGAGTAAGAATTAACAGAGCAGACGATATGCGAAGATAAACATTATGCATTTGCTTTGCAAATGTTACCTTTCTAGTTGCAGCTTTGCCTTTGGTCAAGTATTCTTGAGCACCGTCAGCTCCGATCGATTTTGAAGCGTTCGTGACTGCCGGTAATCAAGTCTCTCTTGATTTATCATTACGCTGACTTGTTCCACACGTGAAGGTCAGTTGTTATGATTTATTCATGTCCTGCAGATTGATAAACCTTTGTGGGCCTTCCAGAATACAATTTATTGGCACCTCGCACGCACCGTTGCTCACAAAAAAAGTGAATCATTGCCAAGTTTGAAGTCGGCAAGATGACAGTTTTGTCTTTAGCTTACAGGCATCCAATGCCATCCAATTTCAGGCTTAAAGGCATCCAATATCAGGGCGGCAAAACTGGAAATATTCTGAATAAGGCAATCATTGTAATATTGACACATACTGCTTCACATTAGCACATTTGAGTCAGCATGCCATGCTTTGGGTATTTAAAACTGCAGAAACAAGCCCCAAGATGAGTCCTTTATTTTCTGGGTGGTACCCTAAAAATCAACCCGCGGCCCTTCCAGTAACCATTTTCCGTCAGAATTGTGGGAATTTTGCTTCATGAGGGTCAATTTCTATTGGGACAGTGCAGTTTTAACTTTGTATGTAGATAAATGACTGGAATATTGCCTCTGAAAAATCGGGTTTCCAAGCCCTAAAAACTACACTGGTTGTTTAGAAAACGCTACTTTTCTTATACGACATCAGGAATCATCGGCACATGTTGATGTTCTGGAATAAAGTTTGGATTTTTTGTAAGGCCATGTTGATTTGATTATATGGATGACATCCTCCGGGAACCCCAAAATTGATGCGCGCGTGCGAATAAAAAAAAGTTTTGCAAAAAAAAAAGTTGTTTTCATTATGAAATCTACGTGGTCATGAGGGTTGAACAAATGGGACAGAATATGTTTGGCGAATAATCTAATCTTCAAGTTCATTTCTTAACAATTTCGTCTTTTTTCGTTTGATTTTGGCATTCTACGACATTGGTATGGTTTTTTTTAGTAACTTACGGTATATTTTGCTCATTTTGCAACTGTTTTGTACGATTTACAGTATGGTTGAAAACTTTTTTTTTTAAACTGCCGAAAATTCATGCCCGCGCGGATGTCATCCATATAATCAAATCAACATGGCCTAGCCAGGATAACATGGAAAGATGTGCTTGTACTAGTGAATATGCAACAGCGAACGGTACGACCAGTGTCCTCAAGTAACATTGGAGGTGTACTCAGAAGTAAAGTTAGATTTATTTCAAAGCTACACATGTAGATATACACACACATCACCTGCCAGCTCACATGCACAGTGTCACATAGCCTAGAGCAGATTTTCTGTAAGAGAGAATTTCGAAGCCTGAGCATCAGCGTATTTGCCGGTTATAACTACCCGCTCGGGCATTGGATTGGAAATGTGCCTGGAGCATTACTGTAAAAACTGACTCCGTCCCCAATTCAGAGTGAGGTCGTGGCTAGCCTCCTGTGCAGGCTCCGGGACGGGTGGGAATTCTGATACAGCGTTTGTTTTAGTTTGTAACGAGTTATTTTGATAGCCGGCCATCCTACAACCAGTAGCCTCCTTCGCAGTCTTGTTGGGCGTCGGCGTCAACTAGTTGTTGGAGCGCGAATCCTTCTCTCCGCGGCAAAAGCTCCCTCGGCAGCAAATCGTCCCTCGCGGCGGCATATTACTCGCGTCGCTCAGAGAAAAAATAAGGCCGACGCCCAACAAGACTGCGAAGGAGGCTACAACCAGCCGCCCAGAGAAGGTTCCATTCCGCCCACGCGTTAAAAACTCTTCAAAACGCTGTATCAAAATTCCCACCCGCCCCGGAGCCTGCACAGGAGGCTAGGCCGGGGCCTACATCGTCTACACTACATACAAGCGCCATTGGAAATGTGACTGATGCAAACGACTTTGCATCACTACCGATACACAGATCGTCTAATCATTCTGTCGCTATTTCACCTTACTGAGGGCAATGTCTCCCTTGTTGGGACAGAGAAATAGACCATCTTCTTCTTCCACTTCAAGCTAAGGCCACACCGATTTAATTTTATGGATGACATCCTCTGAAGACCCCCAAACTAGTGCGCGCGGGCGAATAAAAAAAAAATCCGGCCAAAAATAAAAATGCTACCAAACCACAGGAATACAAAACTGGTATTGTGAATTTGTGGCAGTACCCGGCGACGTACATCTACATGTACATCCTACATGTCAAGCCGGCTTGCGGAATTTATGAATCGGCACTGTACGTATGTACCGAGTTCTTGAGCCGTGGAACTTCGGCAGCCTTGGTGCCATCCTCCAGAGTTACCACCGGCTCCGTATATTGTCGCTAACCACCATGGGCTACCCAGGCCTAGAGCCAGGCCAGGGCCTCGGAGGACGTGATTTTTTTTAGAACAGGCGAAAATCAATGCGCGCGCGGATGTCATCCATAAAATTAAATCGGTGTGGCCTAAGGCCTAGGAAAAAATGTTTTGTTTCCTGTTTCCCGACGGACCCTAGAAAAAACTGCCAACCCTAGTCTTTTTATTGGACCCCTGCAAGGGAAATAATTTTTTTCAATCTGATTGACATTTTCTGACCTGACAACTGAGTGATTAGTTTTCCAACATTGACATTGAAAATATAATTGTTTCACTTTGTTAAATTGTATTGTATATTTTGGATCACAAATTGGATCACTAGAGATTGCCAAAATCTGATATAAAAAAAAAAAAGATAATCCCTACCTACCAACCCTAACCTTTTTAGGACTGAAACAGGAAACACATTTTTCTTAGGCCTAAGCTATTTGAAAAAATTGTCAGAGATGATGCAGAATAATAAAAAATATCATACAGTACTCCTGTGGAAGGGCGGTACAAGAATTGACGTACGATGTGAACGTCAATATATATTTATATTAAGTATCCATTACCTGTTTCTACCTTCTGAGCGTAAAAATGGAATAGGCCAGACGTACGTCATAAAATCCACAGTAGGTCTCGATGTATGTACCAGATCAAAGTCGCATTATAAAGCGTACTCTCCGTTTCTTTGATAGGTTGCACGCTGAAGAGCAGAGAAGGCAACGGCGTTCTACCGTTCAGTCTGCCGCGACGATCCAGTACCGGGCAACGGGCGAACATCGGGTAACATCGCCCGGGTGACAACTTGGACAACATGTGTCTGCGGTGGTACATTGCTGGATTTCTGTGCTGTATCCTTCAGGTAAAGTACGCTCACGAAAACATACGGTTGGGACACTATATAGCTGTGTGATGTTGCAGGTATAATCTGTGTAATTAAATGTATGATTTCACGCAAATTTGCACGTTGGACACGCAAAATGCCGTGTGTGAACGATAAGAAAAAATTCTTTATTTTGTTGAATATCATTCTATCGGGATGGTGTGGCAATGTCGTCTCGTTTCTTGAATTTCAGCGGAATGTTTCAGAAGAGCGTTTGAAAACGAAAAACAGCCCCGTACCTTTTTGCGGCAAGACTTCTTTGTTGACAGTCTGTTTGATACCTCAGAGGTTAGAAAAAAATCTAGTTTTAATTTATCTTACTTTATTTTACGGAAGACGGTTTTATTTTACTTTATTTTACGAAAGACGGTTTCGGTTGTTGAATTAGAAGAATTTATTTCAATACCACCCGTGTTCACTTCTTGTCATAAACGAGGGGTACATTTTACGCATTAGTCACGGCACAAAAAGTAGTATTTAAGCACGCTTAAATTAAGCGTAAAGGCCACCTTTCTTCTCACTTTCCGCACCTTTACGACCCCTAAACGTGAACGTAAAGATTGTCTTAACGTGGACTTTCCGGAAGTTCGAAAAGGGCATTTATTTTTCCACTTTCACGGTGCCTTTCCAAGATTTTTAGATGCTTAAAGGCGTAGTTAAGCACTATCTTTCCGTATCCTTTACGGAGAATAATGCACGGAATGTATGCGTTTATATATATTATTGCAGCGTTCTACGTCAAAGGATGTCTAGCTTTTAGTTGCAGGGAGGTGTTGTCTCTAATGCATTTCTTACAAGTGGGAACATCGGCCGGGCTACGGGCCATGTCATCAGCTCAATTGTGATGAAGACAAACTGCCCGGCCTCTGCGTTTGCAAACCGTTAAAAATGTATGGTTCTTAGTGGCAAATGGTGCAGATCTTGGCACATTGGCAAACCGTTAAAAATGTACGGCTCTTAGTGGCAAATGGTGCAGATCTTGGCGCATTGGCAAACCGTTAAAAATGTACGGTTCTTAGTGGCAAATGGTGCAGGTCTTGGCACATTGGTGACACCATTGGCACATTGGCAAACCGTTAAAAATGTACGGTTCTTAGTGGCAAATGGTGCAGGTCTTGGCACATTGGTGACACCATTGACACATTGGCAAACCGTTAAAAATGTACGGTTCTTAGTGGCAAATGGTGCAGATCTTGGCACATTGGTGACACCATTGGCACATTGGCAAACGGTTAAAATGTACGGTTCTTAGTGGCAAATGGTGCAGATCTTGGCGCTTTGGCGACACCATTGGCACATTGGCAAACCGTTAAAAATGTATGGTTCTTAGTGGCAAATGGTGCAGATCTTGGCACTTTGGTGACACCAAATCCCTCTATGTCTTCATCAGTGTTTGGGCACAGTATTAACGACTAGCCGAAAGGCCCGGTGGGCGTCACTCCACCGTACAGGGAGGGAAGTCATGTGAAGTGCCTCTCCTAAGAGCACATCTTCGGGCATGTCAGGGGATCGAACCCGGGACCTCTTGATTCCGAGCAGAACGTTATGACCATTACGCCACACGATGCTATAAAACCGTTAAGGCTCCCTTTGCTCCTGGATGGAGGGCGTTGAACGAGTTAAGTTGGATTTGCATGACCCTCGGGCCTTTACAGATATGAAATCAGGTATGATTTTATGAATATGATCCATGATGTTAAGGTATGATCAGGAAGATAGCAAAACTAATACTAACCAGAAAGGTAACATTTGCAAAGCAAATGCATAATGTTTACCTTCGTATATGGCCTGCTCTGTTTATACTTACTCAGGCACATTCATATATATGGTCGGACAGGAGTTTAAATCCCTACTGCTATAAAATTGCAACATGATGTAACCCAACTGGTGTCTTCCGAAACCATCCTTAAAGGCATCTAATGCAATTTCGGGATGGCAAAACAAAAAAAATATTCAGTATGATTAAATTTGAAATTGAAATCTACTGTCATTTCTTAGCACATTTTCGTCATCATTTCATACTTGAAGCATTTGAAATAGCCCAAACACAAGCTGAACGAGGTATCTCTTTATTTTTTTTTCGGGTACCGTCCATATAAACGCTAGAACCAGCCTACAATACAAAACAAGCGACCATTTTCCATCAGGGACATCGCATTTTTGCCTCACAAATATCAGTATGCAATTCTGGTTGATTCAACTATCTAAATGGCCAAAAAATTGACTTTGAAAATCCAGTTTTGCTGCTCTGAAATTGCATTGGATGTCTTCAAAGGTACGGTGGATAAATTCATGCCGTTAGGCCACAGCAAGTAATTTTTATGGATGACATCGACGCGCGCATTAATTTTTGCCTGATTTTGGAAGAAAAAAACACAAGAAATTTCTTACTTTGATGCAGTGATATGTGATGCTGGCTGTGTATATGTGATGTTCCCACTGAATCAAAACCATTTGTACAATGATTGAGTCAAAATTCTAAATTTTAGGTACCTTGTTTTTTTCGGCCCACCTTGTTTTTTTTTCGCCCGCTCGCATTAGATTTGGAGCTCTGCGGAGGATGTCATCCATAAAATTTACTTGCTGTGGCCTTATTACATGTAGCAAAAAAAGTGACAAATCAAATTTGTGGCCATTCCATAGCGAATTCTCTATATTGAATATTCCTAGTCCTATATATTCATCTTTATTGTCATTTTATTCCAATGGTACCCTAATTTGTTGGGATTTTATGAGTCTGCTTCTAGGTAGCTATATCGTCCAATTGATTTCGACATTTTGTAATATATCTACGTTATGAATACGCGTACGTGCAACTAAATGTATTATGCAAAATGATTATCTATATCTATTAACAGTCCGTTAGGTCACATATATCCACCACTCAAAGAAAGACAAAGGTAAACTGGAAAGGGTACAAAATCAAGCTGCAAGATTCTGTATGAACAACTATGAAAGAGGTGCTAGTGTCATGAAAATGAAAAGAAACCTATACAGTGGGTGTCACTGGAAGACAGAAGAAAAATGTCCAGACTTTGCATGATGTACAAAATGACTAATAAACTGGTGGACGTCCCAACTACTAAGTACCTAAAACCAGCACAGAAAAGAACCAGAAATAGCCATGACCTCAAGTACCAGAGTTATCAACCAAGGATTGAGGTGTTCAAGAATTCATTCTTCCCTAGAACTATCGCAGATTGGAACTCGCTGTCACAATGTTTGTTTGTTTGTTTGTTTGTTTGTTTGTTTGTTTGTTTATATATGTTAAGAGTTAGATGTTCAAGGGTTGGGTGTAACAAGTCAATCGGTGTATATGTAGCCAGCTGCCGCCGCGCCGCGTGCCTGCGAAGCTGGTGTGTTACGCCGAAGGGTGGTTTTACCGACTATACAGATACAGATACTAGTTCACCCTAAAAAGCGTCTAAACAGATTTCCAATATGTACAACATCCTCAAGTACAATGCACTCCTATATATCTACGTAAGCTATGTATACATGGAGGTGCTGTACTAGAAATATCTCAAAAACGTTGTTTTTCAAAGTGGCGGTTATATGAAATCCCGTGGCTAAATGTTAATGGGGGTTAGATCCCGAGTACTGTGAAGTTGGATTTCTACAAGGAAATCCTTTGATACAAACAAAGTATTAGGCCACACAAATTTTATGGATGACTTTCTCCCTAGACTCCAACTCTAATGCGATAGGGCGAAAAAAAAAACAAGGCGGGTAAAAAAAAACAAGATTCCTACATTTTCAAATATCCACATCATAAACCTTGTTAAACAAGAAATGATATCTATATTGTGCTACGTTTACTGCAAAGTATTACATCCATTTCTCACTGAAACAATCATCGTACAAATGGCTTTGATATTAAGTGGGAACATCACATATACACAGCCATTATATTACATATAAAAGGAATGAAATGCATCACTGCATCAAAGTAAAAGACAAAACATTAAATCAGAGCCTTGTCTTGTCTCTCTTCATATTTATCTGCCATCCACGTTCCGGCATGGCAACAGGCATCTTTGCCAATTTTCGGCATGTTGACCACTGTCAGAGGGCAACAAAATATCTTGTTTCTTTTTCCAAAATTAATGCGCGCGCTGATGTCATCCATAAAAATAACTTGATTTTCTCTTATTGGTTTACTGCAACATACGTCATTAGAAATCCCAATAGATGACGTCTATTTAAAAGAACGTCATATCTTTATGCAAAACAAAATTGCTCAGGTAATTTGTACAAATCTGATATTACCAGTCAAATTACCCCAAATTTAATTTCCAACTAATAGCAAGTTCGGCATCATTTGTAATAAGTATGAATATAAGATAATTGCATATTTCCGGTTGCTGGTAAAATAACTTGTTCCCTCATACATTTCCTAACACCAAGCGATCCACTCAAATCTAAGGCTTTGGCAAGTTCTATGCCCGTTTTGTACACGTTCAGTTGAAAAAATGGCTTTCTTTGAATTTCTCTTACGTACACTTACTCTACCATACGACATTTTGCGTATGGTATGGTAGAGTAAGAGAAATTCACATGGTAGTTTGAACTTTCCCTGGATTATGCTATACAAAACATAGATATTATACACTCATCAGTACAGATTGGTATGAAACAGCTGTGCACCGAATATAAATCTTACTGTCAGTTGTTGAATCTTACTCACAGTAGTTTTGTAGGCTGCAATCTTTTGGCGGAGAATAGAGCTTATATTCTTTCAAATGTCAAACTTTTCCAATCGTCTAGTGCTGTAAAAACTGATTATACCATTAAAACAAATGAGGTTTATGAGACAAATAGTTTGACTGAGACATAATTCCTGTTGTTCAGTGATCTACGACCGTAATTACGGCGAATATAGAAAAAGAGGTAGTTAGAACATGGCCTGTACATTATAGATAGGACATAATTGTCTACCGTAACTTCTTGAGAATTGTTCTTGGAATGGCGCCATCTCA